TTGAATGATAGATCACTAACGCTGTAACAAACTATAAGCTGTATTAATAATTTTTCAACCATGAAAGCTATGGTGGGCTATAAATGGCGCTATCAATTGCCAGGGGTTTTTTTCAGGGAAAACCCCAAAAACTCAATCTTGAATTGAGTTTTGAAACTCAATCTTCTCACCAAAGTTTCAGTGCAGTAAAAATGAAGTTGTTTGAGTTAAATTCGTGACGTGTGAAAATTAGTTTTCAGTTGGAAACCCGACAATTAAAAAAAAATGGCTGGAATTCATCTCACAACACAAGAAAAACTATGCATTCGCCATCTTTAACCAATTTATAGTGTCCCTTAGTGCCCCTGCTTTAACACATTCCGTCTCAACTACATTTATTGAGTACAGGTGTCAGCCCCCCGGTAGGGGACGGGGGGGGGGGGTGCAGCCACCCCAGCTGTTCAGCTAAACTCAATCTTCTCTGCAAAAACGGACCCAAGTGAAAATCCTGAAAAAAGCCTGAATTACATAAAATTTAAGGCAAAAACGTTTAAAGAACTATAAGATTTCCAGTGATCGTATGGTGGCAACCACCCCTGAGTATTTCGCGAAGTGTCCGTCACTTCATAACAATTATTAAAAGTATATACTTTTTATTTTTAAACAGAAACAGTTAGCGCAGATAAAGGCCTGGATTGAAGAAATGAACAAGTTCACTGTGTCATTTTGTACGACCAATGGTTTACTTATGGTCGACTGCAACGGTATCCGCGACAGTATTATTCCGAAGCTTGATGCTATTTTTAGGCAGCTTTCTAAGATGGTTACAAAAGATCTGTTATGGATGTCCAAGAATTTTACTAATGAAGTAAATGCGTTAGTAGAGGTATGCGTATACTGTAGATAGTGTGTACTTTGTCTATGTTTTGACTTCAACTCAGAATATGAGTGTTACTGTGCAGTGCTGTATGTTTTGCAGTTACGATCTCGCACAAGAAAATTTTTCCATATTGTTGAAAACTGTATCTGAATCTCTAACCCAGGGGTGTAGCAAAGTGGCCGGGGGGCACCTCCCCCAATATTTAATGAAGGAGGCCGGAATAGCTTTCGCCCCTCAAAAAAACCCCAATCCTTACCATGTATAGAGACTCAAAATCGCCCACCCCCCAAGTTTGTCAAGCCTCCTACGCCCCTGATCGAACCTTTATTTGGGGGAAAATGCCTCAAGCAAAACAATAAGAAAAATACCCTGAAAAGCCTTTTTTCATGAAAAATACCCTGGCTATATAGGGCCTAATTTTTGTGATTGTCAAGATTGCTTTCGAGCCAGTTGTCTCGTTATACAAACACATCATTCTACAGATTACTTTGCTCAAAAAGTCGCTGGCGTGTGACTCTGTTTTTTAAGTGTCATTTTTATTACTCGCTGGGGCACTTGTGCCCAGGCGAGTATAGGTTTCGGCATCAATCTCCAATCTCCGATCGTCGATAGCCACAAAATAGAATATTAATGAGCTGCTTGATCTTTTTCAAAATGGCGGGGCCTTTCGTGGAGTGGGCAAAAATGTTTCAAACAATTTCGTGAAAAATTTGAACGAATTGTACCTGTTCTCTATGGATTTTGCATTGTGTCTAACTCTGGACATTCTTGCTAGTTTATTTAATGCGTTTGTCTTGGTGCACGACTCTGAAAATCCGAAATTTGGATCGTTGAATTCCCGTGCACGATCGGCATAATATACTGAATCTGAATATAAACGAGTCAAAGACAATTTCAAGGTAAAAGGTTATAACTTAAACTGCACAACGTAGTTTTAATAAATAACTACTTTATGAGAGGCATATTGGTGTCATATCAATATAAAATTTATCGAACAACAGTCCGTGAAAACTGTAGTGTGAAATATGATATTATTATTGTATTTGTAATGCCTAATGGCGCAATAAGGGTAAAAATACCACCGTTCGATTCAGCGTAGGAAATTGTACTTACGGATGTCAAATATATTACTAAACACCAGTACTCTAACGATTTATGGCCTTTGAAAATCAAGCGAAATTGTATTGTTGACAAATCGCTCGCAGTACGTATTTGTTGACAAATTACTCGCTGTTTGTCCGATCTTGTATTTGTAATGCCTATAAATGGCGCAATAAGGATAAAAATACCACCGTTCGATTCAGCGTAAGAAATTGTACTTACGAATGAGAAATAGACCTTTATAAAAAGGTTGACGTCAGCAGGATTGTGACGTAGTTTGCGGAGAAAATCGCGAAAGCTCAGAGTTGTTTACTTGTTTTGAGTTTTTTTAAAGCCAAAAGAAGCCAGTATTATGGTAAGTTTGAAGTAAATTTTTCTATATAATAGGCCAAATGAGTTTTCATATTCGTTAGAGTTTAAATTTTATTTGTTTTTATATTGGATTGTACATTTATTTTACTGTCAACATTTAGCAAATTGTTCGCTCGGTTTGTTTATATATTTCGTTGCTAAAAAGTATATTTTTTCTTTTTTGTTTCTCAAATTCATCAGTCTAATCATCAGAATGGCCCAACCTGGCAAAACCTTGATAGAAAATTAAAGCTAAATTGTTGACCCAGACACGGAAGTGTTATACACGATTGATAAAAGCTACTTGTCATGTATGTTCACTTCAACTATGATAAAATAATAGACTTAGTCTTAGTTATGTCTAAGTTCACTTATGACTTATGTACCTCTTTGCACGATCACTGAGCCTGTGTATTGCTGTCTACAGCTTGAATCTGCTTGATTGGGGCCATTCTGATGATTAGACTGATGAATTTGAGAAACAAAGAAGAAAAATTATTATACTTTTTAGCAACGAAATATGTAAACAGACCGTGCGAACAATTTGCTAAATGTTGACAGTAAAATAAATGTACAATCCAATATCAAAACAAATACAATTTAAACTCCGACGAATATGAAAACTCATTTGGCCTATATATAGAAAAATTTCCTTCAAACTTACCATAATACTTTTGGCTTTTAAAAAACTCAAAACAAGTAAACAACTCTGAGCTTTCGGGATTTTCTCCGCAAACTACGTCACAATCCTGCTGACGTCAACCTTTTTATAAAGGTCTATTGTAGCTACGGATGTCAAGTGTATTACTAAACAACTGACAACAGTATTCTAGTGATTTATGGCCTTTGTCTTTGAAAGCCAAGCGAAATTGTATTATTTGTTGACAAATTATAAAAAATGCAGTACGTTTGATCCTTGATAACTTTGATAAAACAAAACGATTATAACTTTGGTATCGTTGGTTTTCTCTTTTTCGGCAATATACCAGTGGATTCGTCTCACTTCTCTCTTCATTTTGATAATATTTTGAGCCCAAAAGCCCCAAAATATTTTATTTTGGACGTTTTAAACTGGCGGTCGACAGAAGAATGTAGCGTAATATAAAATATAACTTTACTTGTGGGCATAACTTTACTTGTGGGCATTTTAGTGTGTTAAGCCTTTCGCGCTCGTATTCGACTTTTCCGCTTAGTACTGTATGTATCATATATAGTAATGTGCGTATTTGTATAGCCCCAGCGAGTTAACGCTCCATAGAGCGTCTTGTTTCAAAATAGATTGAAGGTCTTCATTTTGAGTAATCGCCCAATATTTTTCTAATAATCGACACCTCAAATGATGGACTAGATATAGGCTTTATCATTTTCTTAATCTAGATGCACTATGCATGACTATTACTACAGTACAAATTATAATCAATTTTCTAGCAGAAACATTTTAAAATATGTTAATTAGTTTTTCGCATCTTTTGCAGCAACTGTCACATAGAAGTAACGATTTAAAAGCTTTTGCGGAATTCATGTCACTTCAGAAGGCAACAAAAGAGAAAGTACCTGCATTGCAACAGAAGGTGGATTATATCAAAAGTTTATTTGAGGTAATTGTGAGCTACTGTACTAGCGAGCATAAGCAAGCGACGTTTTTGTCCACACGGACGCCACCCAAAAAGTGGTATTATATTAACTAATTTTGGCGGCATTTTGCATCATAGTGCTCGTGTAATGAAGCAAAAAAACTTTAAAAATCTTACGTTTTGTCATATGTGTTGAAGATTACCACAAACTGACACAAACACAGTTTTTAATCTAGCCTCCTCCCTATAGGAAATCTGACAGGCTTGTTGACATCCACATGCAAGGCATTATGTGTGCATGTATAGTAGTACTGCGCTCTTCTAGAACTCTGTCTCTTGAAACTTAAATTAGAAGGTACAGTTTCATTCACTTCTCTTGCCTTTAAAAGAAACGTGTAGGCGTAGCTAGACAGCTGAAGCTACCGTTAATTTTTACCCCTCAAATAATGCCCTCTGTTTTAAGGAATACATTTATGAAGCATGCCCTTTCTCCCATCCCCCTCTCCTCTGCCCTCCCCCTTAAAAACGAAACATTTGTTATAGATATTTTTGTTGCAGATGATACGATCAAGTCAGCGACAACTCACACGTGAAGAAGAACTTGCAGAAGACACGGTATGGAAATCAAGTTTACCTAATTTATACTTGAATTAGATTTTGCCATTAACTCTGCATACACTTGTTCAAAACTTTAATATACTAATTGTTTTCTCTAAAT